GGGCGGCTGTACAATGCAGGGGCTTGGTGAGTACTAGCGACTTCGGAGGCCAAGTTGGCCCATCTGGAAACCATGAAGGTTTACCGAGCTGCGGCCCGAGTCCGTTTCCAGGAGCACGATTCTCAGGTGTCCGACGCCCTTGTGCTGGCGAGGCTGCGCAGACCTACCCCTGCCAACACCCTCCGTGCCGCACGCCTCCGACTTCTCGGCTCGCTCTATCATACGGGGCCCCTCCTGGCTTTCTCCCTCGTTGCCGCAGAGTGGCATGCTGCCCCGGACGCCCCCGCACGCGAGCGCACTACCCTTGGACAGTGGATCCAGGACCTGGCCTGGTTACGATGTGCCGTCAAACAGTGCCAGGACCTACCAGCCCCAGCTGACGACCTCAAACCATGGGAAACGTTCATACGACGGAGTCAGCCAGCCTGGAAGCGCATCATACAAGTTGCGATGCATGCGTACACGCAGTACCTTTCCAGGAAAGAGCTCGCCTCCCATATGGAGACCCAGTTTTTTGCAGCTGTAAGGCCAGCAGGTGTGCCAGAACGTGTGTATACCGACGAGCGCGGGCTTATCGTCCCACCGCCGCCTCCTGCGCAGACAGCTGCCCTGGATTGCCCGTGGTGTGGTGAGGTTTTCGCACGACATCGAGCGATGCGCACGCATGTTGCCCGTGCGCACCGACAGCTTGCGACACTTGCGCGCGGTTATGCAGCTCGGGACGGTTCGTGTACAGTGTGTCTGTTAGAGTTCAACGCCAGACCCCACCTCATCGACCACCTGTCGATTGACTCCCCTCGATGCTTTCTGGGCGGCCTCTTAACTATGGACAACCCAGCACACCACCTCGACGACTCGACTACACCGTCTCGACCAACCGGAGCTGTACCCCACATCAGGATTCCCCGCCGACATGTGATTGCACCCACGACGCGGTTACTGGGGCCGCTCACTCAACTGGCCACCGACCTCGCGACGTTGGTCCCACAGGAGTACGCCCGCCAGGTTTTACTTGAATCTGACCCCTACCTCACACCTGCCGCCTGCGCGGCACTTATGCCGCCGGCCCCAGACCCGCCCATCGGCGCTCCCCCTCCCGCCCAGTACCCACCAGTACAGACGGAACGTTACCCGACGCGTATGTTTCTGACCGAGCAGTATACACATGCAGCTGCTCAGGTTTTGCCGTCTGCGATCCGACGGTCAGAAGACTACATACTTAACCTATATTGTGGGAGACGCCGCCCAGGGGATATTCAGGCTTGCTTAGAAATGGAGGAGTATCATACCGATTTCGCTGTATATGTACTTTCGATCGACATCGCTATCGATCCCGTTCTTGGCAATATGATGCGCCGTGAATCTCTGGACATTTGGAAGGGACATATTCGGGCCAAACGTGTTGTGCTGTCAGGAGGCGGGCCCCCGTGCGAGACGTGGGCTGCCATGCGCTGGGCCCTTGACACGGGCCCCCCACCGCTCCGATCCCGCGATGACTTCTGGGGCCTGCTGTCGGTTACACCGCGCCAGATGGAACAGTTACGTGTGGGCAACGAGCTTCTTGGAGCCATGATTGAGCTTTTCGCCGAACATTTGCTGGTGGGCACTTGTTGCTGGATGGAGCATCCCATGCCAGCTGGCTGGCGGCAGGCAGCTGTAAGTTCCTTCTTCTGCCCACCCCTACGGGCCATCATGGCCTCCCCGGCTGCGTCTGTGACAGACTTCGATCAATGCGAACACGGCCAGGTCGCTCGCGCCCCCACCCGTATTCTGGCGTTGCGTATGGAAACCCTTTCTGGCAGGCTTCTGGAGACCCCAGGACGTGGAAGATGTTCTCACGGACGCGGGGCCCACGAGGTGCTCATGGGGTTCGATCGGGCCCGAGACGAGTGGCGTACCGCCAAAAAGAAGACCTACCCTCCCGCTCTATGTCGAGTATTGGCCGACGGTATCACAGATGCGATCAACCATATGCGTGCGACGTGTGACGATGATGCATTGCCAGAGGACATGAGGGAGGAGGAGGAGGAGCTTCGTGGGTCCCTTTCAGCCTTTTATGTAGCTTGAGACCCATATCTCGGTACTGACGAGTCTTGGGCGCCCGACTTTGTCGATTCTCGGCCTCGGAAGGTTCGCGCTGATCCAGAGCGCCACAGGTTTTTGCCCCCCGAACCGCCGCCCACCGAATCTGCAGATGCAGGCGTTGTTTACGATCCCACTGCGGAGCCGCGGGACCCTGGCCCGATCGAGGCCTCAGAGGAACAGGAATATGCCGATGCGCTCTCATTCCTGGATGGCACTGTGTTGCCCCCACCCGGCTCGTCTGCTCCGCCCTTTGCACCCTCCCCCCCTCTCCGCCCCCTCCGCCACCTTCGCAGCCCGTAGAGCCCGCACCAGAAATTCGAGCTCTGATTGCTGCCAAGCGTACGCAAGCCAGAGAGCGACGTCGGATTCGCCTCGCTCAGCGAATAGCCCCCTGGATTTTCCAGCCCGATTTCGGGGTCGGGCTGTTCGATAACGCGCACGACTAGACAGCTGTAAGGCAGAATAGCCAAGGCAGAAACTTGGGAACTCCGTGGTTCCCGCCTTTTGCTGGTTTGTGAGCAGGCTGTCAGGATGGAGGCCGCAGGTACATCCTGGGGTACTTGTGTGGCCGCGCCCTGATCTCTCCGCCTCTGTTGCCAGTGTTTCGGGCTTTGCCAAGACCAGCGCTCTGTGGCTGGTGCTATGGTTCATGCGTGCCCTCCCCGTTTTTGGCCAGTCCCGTGGTGGTATACAGATAACCCCCAGCTCATCCGTCAGTTTCGAGCTGAGCTGGAATCACGTCCGCTGAATGAGCTTGCTATGCCATAGCCGACTGACTTCCAAGAGACGCGCCACAGTAGTTCTGACTTTCACCGTGATCAGTTTTGCTGCAGACTGCCTCTCTTGGACCTTGGATGTGATGTCTGTCGTCCAACTTCGGTCTTCAGGGGTATCCGATGTTTGCAGCCTCAGGTGAATTTTGCAGGATGTGGAGGGGAAGTGGGAGGTTTATAGGAGGTGCGGAATGAGGAGCGGAGCGGCGAGCGGCGCGGCAGTGTAGCAGCGAGCGCGCGCCGCCCCGCCGCCGCCGCCCCGCGGCGGCCCGCCCAGCCGGCACCGCCCCGCCGACGCCGCCCCGCGGCCCCGCTCTTGCGCGAGAGAGAGCCACCTCCCTCGCCCGCACGCACGGCACGTGGATCGTGCAAGACCGTTCGGCCCCCATTTCGTCTCCCCTTGCGCGCCCGCCGCCGCCAGGTTCTGCTGGCGGCCAACCTGCCGCCGTGCCTCTCTTTCGTTGCCATGCCCGCAGCAGAAAGGGGTAGCAGGGATCGGGCCGCCCCCGCCGCTTGCAGCAGAAGGGGTAGCAGGGCTGGGCCGAGCTCATTTCCTCGTGCTGCTGCCTGTGTCATGACCTCCCCCTTCCCTTCGACATCACACCTTGCCCGACGATCTCGTCTCTGTGGAGTGTGATTGTCCTGGGGCTTTGCCAGGGTTACGCCGAGAGCAACCGAGCAGGATTGCCCCGCTTCGCTTCGCTGCCTCTTCCTGGCCACGGTTGAAAGTCTCACCTCTTCGCTGCCTAGTTTCAGGACGCTCTGCGTCCCCGCCGCTGCCGTGCATCCTGCTGCCTGGCGCAGCCCGTATTATGGGACTGGGTGAGCATCGAGGGGTAGGGTATTATCGGATTGGTTGGAGGACAACGCTTTGTGCTGGTACCCGGCTGCAGTAGCAGATGGCTGGATGCACCTCAGGCGCCGACGCCTGGCCTTTGCAGTTTTCCCTAGCTAGCCGATGCAAGTTACTGTCTGAACTTGACTTCAGGTGCCCGTGCAGAGTTTGCGAGCCTCGCCGTTTAGCATAGCCACACGAGCTGACTGTGCTGACCGTCTCTGCTAGCCGCAGCGCCGCCATTAGCTGACAGGCCATACGCTTCATCAGCAGCGCAATCCCAAAAATCCTCGTCGTTGTCGTCGTTGTCGTCGTTGTCGCCGTCGTCGTCCTTCCTCCTCCCTCGTCGTCTTCGTTGGCGACGTCGTCGTCGTCGTCGGCGTCGGCGTCGTTGTCGTCTTCGTCGACGTCGACGTTGTCGTCGTCGTCGTCGCCGCCGTCGTCGTCGTCGTCGTCGTCGGCGTCGTTGACGTCGTCGTCGGTGTCGTCGTCATCGTCGTCGTCGGCGTCGTCATCGTCGTTGTCATCGTCGTCGTCGTCGGCGTTGGCGCCGTCGTCGTCGTCGCTGTCGTCGTCGTCATCGTCGTCGTTGTCGGCGTCGTCGAAGTTGTTGGAGACGTCGTCGGTGTCGTCGTAGTCGTTGTCGTCGTCGTCGTTGTCGCTGTCGCTGTCGGCGTCGCTGGTGTTGCCAAGTGCCATTTGGTACCCACCGTCACGGTCTTAAGAGATTTTGCAAACCAAGTTGCGGGTGGGTGGGTGGGATGCCTGCGCGAGCAGTGGGGTGGACAACTCATTGCGAACAGAAACTAATTGCATTATATATATATATATTGCACCACATGTGCTGCACCATATAGAGTGCGTAACATAGGTTGCACCACATGAGCTGTTCAACATAGATTGCACAACGCAGATTGCACACTATAGATTGCACAACTCAGATTGCACCACACATATTGCGCCACATAGATTGCTCAACAGAGATTGCACCACGTAGATTGCACCACATATATCGCATCGCATAGATTGCACCGCGTAGATTGCACCACACAGATTTGACCACACAGATTGGACCACACAGAGTGCACATTCTAGTTTGCACCACGTATATATGTATGGAATAACACAGATTTCACCGCATCGAATGCACAACATCGATTGCACCACATAGATTGCACAACATTGATTGCATCACGTACAGAGAGCATCACAGTAGTTGCATTCAACAGATTCCCCCACCTAGGATGCACCAGGGTGACCTTACTATAGGTACGCTTGTTGTCCTTATCCCACGTCGGTGCCTGGAGGCCTCCGCTGGTGCCGGCGCCCCGGGCTCCCTGCCGGGCCTCTGCCGCGTCCTCTTCGGGCCCGTGGCGCCCTTGGTGTGCGAGTGCCTGGAGCCCGCAGAGGTGGGCCGACTGCAGCGATGCCAGCGCGAGCTGTCCTCCGCGGTGGAGCTTCGGCACTTGCTGCCGGCGCTGGCGGCGCTGGGGCTCGACGGCCAGGTGCGCGCCGCGCCCAGGCTGGAGGAGCTCTTCCTGCGCGCGCTGCGCCCGAGCCCGGCGCTGCTGTCGCTGGCGGTCTTCGGCGACACCTGCCGGTGCTGCGGTGACATGCGAGCCGCGCTGGCCGCCAGGGACTCCGCGGGCCGCTCCCCGCTGCAGAGGGCCGTGCAGCTGGGCTGGCCAGAGGTCGCTGGCAAGCTTTTCAGTGGAGGGAAAAGGTACCCATGCCGCAAGCCTGGCCTCGTTTCCGCTTGCTGGGGCCTCCTGCGCCCTCGTCGCCACGGCCTCCTCCTCCTCCTCTTCCTCCTCCTCCTCCTCCTCCTCCTCCTCCTCTTCCTCCTCCTCCTCCTTCTCCTCCTCCTCCTCCTCCTCCGCCCTCCGCCTCCTCCTCCTCCTCCTCCTTCTCCTCCTCTCCCTCCCCCTCCTCCTCCTCCTCCTCCCCCTCCTCCCCCTCCTCCCTCTCCTCCTCCTCCTCCTCCTCCTCCTCCTCCTCCTCCTCCTCCTCCGCCCTCCTCCTCCGCCTCCCCTCACCTCCTCCTCCTCCTCAAGACTTGTAACATTGCCTTGGACGCTCCCCCAGCAATAATGAGACCCACGCTTTGAGCTGCTTTAGGTCCGGCCGCCACCCGAAGAGAGGAATGAAGAGCAGGGCTTGTTTTGCGGCCCCCATCACCCTCGACACCTTGATCAGGGAAGCGCAACAGGCGCCTGGGCAATAGTACAGCAAGCAAGACAGACAACCCAGTCAGAAGTGCGGGTCCTCCACTTCCTCCTCCTCCTCCTCCTCTTCTTCCTCCCCCCCTCCTCCTCCTCCTCCTCCTCCTCCTCCTCCTCCTCGTCCTGTTCCACCTCCTCCTCCTCCTCTTCCTCCCCCTCCCCCCTCCCCCTCCCCCTCTTTCCTCCTCCTCCTCCTCCTCCTCCTCCTCCTCCTCGCCTCCTCGCTCCTCGCTTCTCCTCATCCTCCTCGCTTCTCCTCCTCCTCCTCCTCCTCCTCCTTCTTCCTCCTCCTCCTCCTCCTCCTCCTGATCCTCCTCCCCTCCCCTGCCCCCTCCTCCTCCTCCTCCTCCTCCTCCTCCTTCCTCCTCCTCCTCCTCCTCCTCCTCCTCCTCCTCCTCCCCTCCTCCTCCTCCTCCCCCTCCCACGCCCCTCCTCCTCCTCCTCCTCCTCCTCCTCTCTCCTCCTTCTCCACCTCCTCCTCCTCCTCCTCCCCTCCTCCTGCTCCCCTCCTTCTTCACCTCCTCCTCCTCCTCCTCCTCCTCCTCCTCCTCCTCCTCCTCCTCCTCCACCTCCTCCTCCTCCTCCTCCTCCTCCTCCTCCTCCTCCTCCCCCTCCCAGGCCCCCTTCTTCTCCTCCTCCTCCCTCCTCCTCCTCCTCCTCCTCCTCCTCCTCCTTCTCCTTCTCCTTCCTTCCTTCTTTTCCACCTCCTCCTCCGCCTCCTCCTCCGCCTCCTCCTCCTCCTCCGCCTCCTTCCCTCCCTCCCTCACTCCATCCATCCCTCCTCCCTCCCTCCTCCCTCCCTCCTTCCTTCCCTCCCCTTCCTCCTCCCTCCCTCCTCCCTCCCTCCCCCTCCCACGCCCCCTTCTTTGCCTTCTCCACCTCCTCCTCCTCCTCCTCCTCCTCCTCCTCCTCCTCCTCCTCCTCCTCCTCCTCCTCCTCCTCCTCCTCCTGGTCAGAGCGCACCCCTGGAGAGGTACGGGCAGTGGCGGTATCGGGAGCCTTTTTTCGGTTTTCTCGAGGTCGCTGGCAAGCTGCTGCACCTGGGAGCGCCCGCGGACCACGGGGACGCGGCGAGCGGCTGGTCCCCGCTCATGTACGCCATCTCGGCCGGCGACCAGGTCACGGCGCGCGCGCTCACGAGGCACGGCGCCTCCGTGAACTTGGTCGCGCTGCCGCACGGCTGGACCCCGCTGCAGACCGCGGTGGCGAGCAGCAACCTGGGGCTGGTGGAGTGGCTGCTGGACCTCGGAGCAGACCCCGAGGCCACCATCCGGAAGCTGAAGCTCAACTACCACATCGACGACTGCCGCGGCAACGAGAGGCTGCTGACTCGGATCGTGGCCCGGCGGCGGGCCGAGTCGGGCGCGCCCAGGGGCTCCTGGCCTCCATGTCCGGCCGGCGTGTCGCCCCGCGATCGCCCCCCTGGACCAAGTAGCACGCCCTCGTCTCCTCCCCTCCTCCGCTCGGGCGACAGGGGGAGATAGGGAAGGGGGGGTAATTTCGAACTCTGCTGCACGTAGCTGGATTCGATCCCGCCGAGGGGCCTATGCCTCGATGCATGGCCGCCTCTGGCGCCGGCAGGGCGCTGGGGAACCTGGCAACGTAAGCTGATATGCTGTCCCCCCCACCCTTTGTTGCTGTCCCCCCCCCCGTCGCCCGCCCCGATCCTCTGGACTCTGGCCCCTTTCGAGCCCAGGGGCTAGCAAAACGCGGCTGCGCACGAGGCACTGGCTCCACGGGCAGGGAGCGAGAACTCGAACTCGAACCCGGGCAGGGGGAGAGTCAGAGCCCCGAATCATCAGGGGTAATTTGCGTCAGGGCTAATTCCCTTCGCCGTCCTCCACGCATCGAAGTGCGCGTGCGCAACACGAGCGTGCGCCAGCCCTTTGCTCTGGCCAGGGCGCCCAGGGGCTTCCCCGCCACATCGCGCAGAGCATGGCCCTGGCAACGGGGGCCTGTGATTATCGGCCACGCGCAGAAGGAGGGTACGGAGGGGGGGTGGGGGATGCGTCAGAGAAGGAGGCTGCTTCTTACAAAGGCGTGGGTCTTATCCGCAACTGCAAAACTGTAAGATCGGCGCCGTCTAAGAAGCAGCCTCCGTCCAAGCAGTTACTTCCAAGTTAACCCGCATGCTTTTCTGCCTGCGCGGGCTACCCCTGTGCTTGTGGGGGAGGTGCTATGGGCTGAAGCGCTTTATTTCAAACGAGGACCTACCCAACACTTAGGCCAGCCTACACAGTGCCAGCCTCAAGCAACAACATTATACTGCACGCCTCAGTACGTTCAGCTGCTGCATGCCTGAACTCACATACGGGGAATTGGGGGAGGGTTTGTTTTACGATGGAGACGGGATGCCAAGGTAATACCGGTCATTGCAGCTCTTGTCTTAGCTTCCCGCCACTAGTGTCGCCTGTTCTTCTTCGTGTAATTGCACGCGTATGTCGTCCTTCTCCTCTCTGCTCGTCCTCGGTCATGATGTTGCGTAGGTTAACGATCGATCCCTCCTCCTTTCACTCCGCCTGGCTGGCGTATACTCTGCGCCCCTCGGGGTACTCTTCTGTTTCATGTTTCGTGCTGCCCCGTTTAGGCACGTGCTGCGCCAGCCAGGCTTAATTTGTTGTCACCGCGACGTTAAGCCGTTTTTCCATATGCATTCAAACACCCTCCAGGCTGCCACCTCTAGTTGGTCGAACGCACGAAGGAGGAGGAGGTTGAGGCAGGGCGGGGGAGGAGGAGGAGGAGGAGAAGGAGGAGGAAGAGGAGGAGGGAGAGAAGACTCGGCTAGTTAGGCTGGGAGGGCAGGGGGATCGCCCGCGAAACAGGAGCGGTCAGAGTAGAAGGGGATGGCGCTGTAAGTTTCAGCCGTGGAGGGCAAGAGGCTTGGAGCTTCGAAAGCACAGGTCTCAGTTCCATCCCCTGGTTGCACGGCCTTCCTCGCCCTCCCCTCGCCCAACATTTTGCTCTCGCACGCAATGACCACTTACCCGATGCGCCGAAAGTTAGTTCAGAAGTTCCAGTTGGTGCACGGATGGAAGCAAGTCGTTATCAGAATTTGCTTCTGGTGTGAGATCTTACAGTTTGCAGCTTCAAACCGTCAGAGGGAAGGATCCCCTCTCAAAAGCTTGCTCTCGTTGATAGTGATCATCGTTTTCCTTGCGACTATACCTCGGCACCCCCAGCAGCATACTTCATATCAAAGGCCATACGGCATAGCACAGACAATGCCCAGACTCTAGACATGTGGACGGAGAGCGGTTCATTCTCCAACGCCGCGTATACTTGTTTAGGGCATGTTCCCAATTACATGCCGGGAGGGTGATACCCTATCAGAGCCAGAGCAGACGCGAAACTTGCTGCGGCCCCTGCTGTGCGTGTCAGACTCCGCAAGGCACTCACCAGGCAGGCCGCCCCAACTGCCCAGCTGCAGTCGCCTATGATAGGGGTTACTCGGAACCGGAGGGCAGGCCGCACCACAAATGGCGGCGTGCTGGGCCTTGGGCTCAGGAGGGGCTCTGGCTTGCGGCCCGCTCCCTAGCTCTGAGGTCGGGGAGCCTGCTTCGCGGCCGAGGCTCGCCGCGGCCAAAAACACGAGCCCCTCCCGTTCCCTGCTCGGCTTTTCCTCCTCGTCGCCCTCTGCCTGCGATCGGGCCCTCGCCCCCCGCCCGGCGGCAGCCGTCCCTGGCCCGAGCTCGCCTCGACCCCGGCGCGGCCTCACCCGCGCCTCCGGCCCGCCCATGGCGCCCCCGCGCCCTCGCCGGCGGCGGTGCCGCCGCGGGGCGCCCTGGCGCGCCTGCCTGCTGCTGGGCGCCGCGTGCAGCGCGCCGTGGCGCGGCCCCGGCGCCGGCGGCGTGCTCGTCGCGCTCTGCGCGGGCCTCGTCGGCCGGGCGCCCGCAGGCCGCGGCGGTCGCGCGCGGGCGGGCGCCGGCCGGGCGGCGGCGCCTGGCGGCGGCGGGCGGCCGCCGAGCGAGCGGGGCGAGCAGCGGCACGCCGACTACATGTTGGGCATCCCAGACCACCAGAAGCACCAATCTAGGCACAGTCTGTGTAGCCAAGCTAGGCGATGCGTTCTCTAAATAATGGAACAGGTATGTACCTGTTGCGCATGCATGTACACAATATATACAGAACTTCGCACGTATATAGTTGTCTGCAAATACTGATACATAAGTCTATACATGGCCACTACATGTGCATGTGCTGGTAGCTATGTGATGAAAGCTACGTAGCGCAAGCTACTTGATGCAGGCCATGTGATGCAGTTGGTGTGGCGCACGCGGTGTGGTGCGCGCTGCGTGCTGCAAATTGGGAGGGAAAGGTGTGCGATGGGAAAGGATCTCTTCACCGTGAGATCAAAATTTAAACTGTGAGTTAATTTCAACAGCGCTGCGTGTCAACAGCGTGGTGCCCACAGCGTAGTGTGTCAACAGCGAAGTGTCAACAGCGTAGTGCGTCAACAGCGTTGTGCGTCAAAAGCGTGGTGTCACCCGCGTAGTGTGTCAATAGCGTAGTGTCAACAGCGTAGTGTCAACAGCGTAGTGCCTCAACAGCGAAGTGCATCAACAGCGTAGTGTGTCAACAGCGTAGTGTCAACAGCGTAGTGTGTCAACAGCGTAGTGCGTCAACAGCGTAGTGTGTCAACAGCGAAGTGTGAATAGCTTGCTGTACCAACAGCGTGGTGTTAACAGCGTAGTGTCAACAGCGTAGTGTGTCGACAGCGTAGTGTCAACAGCGTAGTGCGTCAACAGCGTAGAGCGTCAACAGCGTAGAGCCTCAACAGCGTAGAGCCTCAACAGCGTAGTGTGTCAACAGCGTAGTGTGTCAACAGCGTAGTGTGTCAACAGCGTAGTGTGTCAACTGCGTAGTGTGTCAACAACGTAGTGTGTCGAGAGTCGACAGCGTAGTGTGTCAACAGCGTAGTGCGTCAACAGCGTAGCGTCAACAGCGTAGTTTTTCAACAGAACGCGCTGACAGCAGCGCAGCGTCAACAGCGTAGTGTCAACAGCGCTGTGTCGACAACGCGCGGTCACAGGAGAATGCCTCGATGACCAACGCAGCGTGAGTTCGGCGATCTTCAGCAGTTTCGAGATTTCTTTCGGACAGTGGTTCACTCTGCGTAGTGTTTTTGCGTAGTGCTTTTCGCGTCGTGTTGTTGCATCGAGTTTTTGCGAAGTGTTGTTGTGTAGTGTTTTACATAGTGTTTTTTTGTGCTCCGTGTTTATTGCATCTTCGAGAATGTTTCGCTTCACCATCTTTGTGGATGATTTCAATAGGAATCGTTCGTGGAGAATCCCACCTGCCCTCTGGGAGAAGCTGGTCTAGAGAGGTCCCTCTTCCAACCGCCTTCTCCCCCTTACCCCCCCCCCCTGGACGACCTGGACGGGACGTTTTCGCGAGGGGTTGGAGCGTGCAAGATAGCCCAAGACGGCTCCAAGAGGGTCTCAGAGAGCCCAAGAAGACCTCCAAGACGGCTCAAGATAGCCAAAGATGCCTCAAGACGGCTCCCAACATGCTCCAAGAGTCCCCAAGAACGCTCCAACACGACTCCAAGAGGCCTCTGAGACCTCCAAGGAGGCCCCCGAGGAAGCACCCCCCGGACCTCCGACGCCTCGATCGTTTCGAGCCTCGGGCCCCCGGACCTCTGAACCCCTTCCCTGGGGCCGGTTTTTCGTCCTGGGTCGTCTTCTGATGGCCCCCGGGGCCCAAGAAGCGGCCACCCAGGAACCGAAAACCGCGAAAGACCTTGGACTCGACATTCTCAAACCTCTGGAAGTCTGGGTCCGAGGGCGGCCCCTGCCCGAGGAACACGGGAGGCGAGCCAGGGGGCATCTTTCCTTGCAACATACCCCCGCAACCCAGAATCCTGCCCAACCCGGTTTTTTCCGTGCGAAATGTGCCACATTGCGCTGTTGACACTACGTTGTTGACACTATGCCGTTGACACTGCGTAGAAACAGCGGCGTGTTGGCACTACGTTGTTGACACTACGCTGTTGACATTGTGTTGTTGTTACTACGCAACAACAGCGCGTTGTTGACATGACGTTGTTGACACTACGCTGTTGACACTGCGCTGTTGTCACCACGCTGTTGACATTACGCTGTTGACACTGCGTTGTTGACACTACATTGTTGACACTACGCTGTTGACACTACGCTGTTGATACTAAGGTCTTGATATTACGCTATTGACGCTACGCTGTTGAAATTTCGCTGTTGACACTACGCTGTTGACACTAGGATGTTGACACGACGCGGTTGCCACTAACCGGTTCACACTACGCTGTTGACACCACGTTGTTGCCGCTACGCTTTCGACACTAAGTTCTTGACATTACGCCGTTGATAGTACGCGGTTGACACTAAGCTGTTCACGCTACGTTGTTGGCACACTACGCTGTTGACACTACACTGTTGACACTACGCTCTTGACACTACGCTGTTGATACTACGTGGTTGACACAACCTTGCTCATACTACGTGGTTGATATTACGCTGTTGACACTACAATGTTGACTTGACTCACGATTAAGCCGCCGCCTCGATGGGAAGGAGGCCAGGTGATGCAAGCTGTGCCGTGCGGAGCCCGCGGGGTGCCAGTGATGCGGCGCAGGCTGTGTGGTGCAAGCGATGCGGCGCGAGCCATGTGGTGCAAGCTTGGTGGTGCGGTCTTTGATGGTGCAGGCTATGTGTCGCAAGCTCTGCGGGCGCCCACGGGCGGCCACGCACCAGGCGCCTGGGCAAACCCCAGGAGGCCCCCTCCGATCATTTATGGTGCAAGCAGGGCACTCGGAGTGAGCAGAAAAAATCTGGGGGTCTCGCGCCAAGAGTTCTTGGGTCGGCGCTGGGCGCACGCCTGCCCGGACGCGCTCCGCGCCTCTTGGGGCAGATGCGCCTGGGTCCAGCGCCGGCGCCGGCTCGGGAAGTCCGCGCAGAACTCCGATCGCTTCTATCGGCTAGACGTAAGAGTGACCTTCGCCGGAGTGACCTTTGGTGCGTGCACAGATTGGCTCCCCGATCGCTGAACGCGAAGCGGTAGCAGCGGCTTGCGCGCCCAGGTTTGGCCACCCCGCGTCCCCCGTTGAGCCGCGCACCGAAGGTCACTCTCGCCTAGGGTCACTCTTGCGTGTAGCCGACTCTAGTTGTGCCAGTTTCTGGTGTTCTGCATCCGCGAGCTCGCCGTGGAGGCGCTGCGGTGGCCGCACCTGGCACCCTGGCAGCGCCTCGAGTGGGCGGCGGCGCTGCGTTACGACGCCGTTCCGGTGAAGGAGCTGCCGCCCTGGTGGCTGGCTCCGAGGAACCTGACACGCAGGAGGGGAAGGGCGAGGGGGAGGGGGGGAGGGGGAGGGGAAATGGGGGAGGGCGAGGGGGAAGGGGGAGAGGGAGGGGCAAGCTGGGTGCGCTAGCGTCACATCTGACGTCCTACACCTCCCTCCCATTGCTTACAATAGCGTAGGTCTCCTACCTATTCGCACAGTCGGATGCCGAGCAGGGCAACGATCCCAAGAGGGTACGCGATAGATGTAAAGACATGGCGTAGAAGAGCACGGCAGAGCATAGTATGTCATAGCATTGCGTGGCATTGCGTAGTGAAGCATTGCATCACAACGCAAAGCATGGCATCGCACAGCGGTGCGCAACACAGCATCGCATTGCATGCCGTGGCATGGCATCGTATGACTTGGAGGGTAAGTGACCCGTCTGCGAGAGGACAGGGCCTGTCCGGAATGCCGGCTCCATGTCCTCCGCAGCTGTGCTTGCCCGACGTGGGCGGTTTCGAATGCCAAGTGCCGTCCGGAGGCGCGGGAACGAGGCCAGCGTTGCAGCGGGAGCACCAGTCTGGAAGAACCAGAAACGACCGGATCTAAAAACCACATCGGAACAAAAACATATAATGAAATTGTGCACGTAAAAACAATGCGCGGAGAGGACGGGGCACTCTCCGGACAGAGTCAGGGGAGAGAGGAGAGCTGTACTCATATTGTGTATTTGTAGATGGGGGAGGGCGAGGGGGAGAGGGGGGGGGGGAAGGGGAGAGGGAGGAGGGGGAAGGGGGGGGGGGAGGAGGGAGGGCGCTGGGGAAGGGGAGGGCGAGGGGAGAGGGCGAGGGGGACGGGAGGGACGTGGGCAGACGGAGGGAGGCAGAGAGGGCGCGAGGGAGGGGCTGGGAAAGGGCGCGGGGCTTGGACGGGGTGGGAGTGGGGACGGGTGGCAGGAGAGGGCGGGGGGGTGGATTGGAGGGGGAGGGGAAGGAGACAGGTTGGGGGTAGGGGATTGGAGGGGTAGGGGATTGGAGGGGTAGGGGAGGGGCTGGGAAAGGGTGCGGGGCTTGGATGGGGTCGGGTGGCAGGAGAGGGCGAGGGGGGGCATTGGAGCGGGGGGGGGGAGGAGACGGATTGGGGAAGCGGGAGGGGCAGGGACATTGGCGTGGATTTGGTGAGCCTGGACGGTGAGCGGGCCGTGCAGTGCAAGTGCTGCAACGGCACCGTGCAGACGAAGGACGTCACCCACTTCATATGCATGGCGCAGAACGTGTTCAGGGCTTCCGAGATCATCCTGGCGACGTCCGAGACATCCCGCCTGACCAGCGATGCAGCAACCGTCATTGAGACCGTCGGCGTGAGGCACGACGTTTTATCAGGCAGCTGCATCGACGAGCTACTGGCCAGCACTGAAGCAGCGCTCCCACCGCCTCAGCGGGACTGCCTAGCGACTGCCTCCCTGAGACCATGTCAGCGAGACTGCATCCGTGCCTGCAGGGCTGGAGCCCGCATCATCGAGATGGCATGCGGCACGGGCAAGACGCTGGTGATGCGAAGACTGGCCGATAAGGCTTCAGGCCGCGTCCTGGTTTCGGTCCCGTCCCTCGCTCTGCTCTGGCAGCACCTTGCGACGTTTCCTGGATTCTGCCCCGTTGGGACCGGGTATAACACGAAGATCGCGTGGGATGCGCCAGGATACATCAGTGTGACGGACTCAGTGCACCTCCTGGAAAACATTTACTTTTCTGATATATTTGTTGACGAGGCTCATCATCCTTTGCCGCCGATGTTCCCGAAGGGCGACAATACATATCTAAGACGCCTACGGCGAGCCACCGCCGCCACCTGCTTCTCTGGAAACACCTACATAGCCAAACGGCGGGCAAAAGCCTGATCTAGCTACTGGATTATTTGTTTCCCCATCCGCTGTGGAAGCCCTGGGGGGGAAAACTTGCGGGAAGAAGACACAGAGGAGGAGGAGATGGAGGGAGCTCGCTTGGGGCCTCCCAGGGGCCTCATGGAGGCCCGTGTGGGACCTCTTCCGGGCCTCCTAGGGCTTCTTGGGGGCTCCGAGGAGCCTCTCAGCCTTCGGATGCCGAGGGTTCGGGGGGCCTCTCTGGTCTGTCTTGCGGCCCCTCTTGGGGCGCTTCAGGGCCGTCGTGGAGGTGTCTGGGGCCGTCTTCGGGGCCTCTTGGGCTGTCTTGGGGGCCCCCTTCGCCCGTCTGGAGGCCCTCTTCGCCCTTTGGCTGTGAGGGGCCAGGCGTTGACGGGGGCCTGGAGGTGCAGGCAGTTTTCAGCCTCGGACGGAGTCCGCTCTGCCGAGCCTCATTCAGAATGCTGGCCTGGAGACGCGATCGCGGATCTGGATCGGTTTCTTTTTTGTTGTAGCCTTCACTACGTTCTCTGCCTTCGGCGAAGGGCGTCCAGGGCAGAGGCATTCTTGTCCCAAGCAGTGGCAAAGGGGCTTCTGGATCCGCCTTGGGGCTATCTTGTTGGCATCTGGGGCCCTCCTCCGCCGTCGGAAGCCTGAAACGGCGATGACGCGACAATCTTTCAAAGTCCACGAGGAAGTTGGTGATGTTGGCCGTTTCAGGCCCATGTGGAGGGCCCCTTGGAGCCCTCTTGGGCAGTATCGGGGGCCCATTGCTCCATCTTGAAGCAATGTTTGGCCACGTTTGGGGCAATGTTTTAACAATCGTGGGGCCATCTTGGCGTCTTCGAGGTGTCTTGGGGTCGGCTTGGATGCAATACCGGGTCATATTGACCGTCTTCGGAAGGTTCGGCTTGGTTTTTCCGGCGGGATCTGCCGAAGGACATTGGGAAAATTTCGGAAGGGCAAATCAAGATAGATGAAGTCTGGCATGTCAAACACCATTGTGGCAAGCAGCAGGGGGCGGCGGACCGAAGACGTCTACGGCGAACCACCGCCGCCCCCTGCCTTTGTGGAGACGCCTATGTGGTCGAATGTTGGGCCAAAGTCTGGCCAAGCTGTTGAAGTAAGTGTCCCCCCAGCCGCTGTGGAAACCATTGGCGGAACACTTGCTTGGAGGAGTGAGAGAGAGAGGGAAAGAAGGAGAGAGAGAGAGGAGGTGGTCAAGCTAGGTGCCCCCGCGCCAGGTCTGACATCCGATCCCTCCCACCCATCCCTTCCCATCGCGCTGCGTTGTTTTATCCGCCGACGCGTGCCATAGCGGACCTTGAATTTCAAAAAGGACCCCATCGTGACATGCGCAATCGGAAAATGGGAGCTGCGTCAATTGGGCGAGGAGGTGGCGTATGAGCAGGAGGAAGAAGAGGAGGATGAGAAAGGAGGATGCGAGGAGAACAACAGCAGCATGAGGAACAAGGGGACTGCGGGGGAGGAGAAAGGAGCAGGGCGACAACGATAAGCAAGCACTGGGATCCAGAAGAGAGCCCGCGATAGGGTGAGAACGCCATTCTGAGCGATGGAAGCCAAGAGCCGATCCTACAGAGATGCCAACGCTGCAGCGGCAGCGCTGGTTCAAGACATCGAAAACGTGCCAATTGAAACAAACATAGGTGACCGACTCTTGAACCCCAGTTGTTTCAACAATATAGCAAAGCAATACGCGGAAGGGGGCGACCGACTCCCCGGCCATTCTCAGGGGAGAGATTGTGGAGGGACGAGGAGGAGTATGGGGGGCCTCTCGGGGCCCTCTTGGAGCCCTCCATGGGCCTCTTAAGGGCGGGCTTCGTGGCCAGTCTTAGGGGGTTGGTGGCCCGTCCGACAACTTCGGAGACCGTCTTAGCGGCTTATCTGGGCTGTCCTCTGGAGGCGTTTTAGAGCTGTGTTGGAGGTATCTTGGGAGTCTTGGGGGGCCCTTGGCTCGTGTTGATGCTCTCTTGGAGACCTCTTGGGCAGTCTTGGGGCGAATTACCTAGGAGCCTCCTTGGGCTGTTTTCGGCGGTTGCAAGCCCGAAAAGACAACGCGAGCATGTTTCAACATTCGAAGAACGTTAGTAGGCCTTTTCCAGGCCGACTCGGTTTCAGGATGCTCCAGTAGCTTGTTCGGCAAAGTGGCAACTTGCAACGTATGATAACATTTCGTGTTGATGATGATGACGAGGATGAAGGCAATGATGATTTAGACGATGATGTCGATGACACCGCCGGCGACGATAAAGATGACAATAACGAAAATGTCCGCGATAATGCCTTGTATGTCTTCATGCTATGAGGTTTGGGCGCGTTGATACCATGACGTATTGATGCCTTGATGCTTGGTTGCGTTTACGCATTGGTCCCTTGATACGTTGGTGCATTGTGCATTGTACATGGTGTCTTGATGCCTGGGTGCATTAAGCATTGATGCCTTGATGTATTGATGCCTCGTTGCCGTGAGACATGATTGCGTTGATGCCTCGGTGCTGGATGAATTCATGTCTCTATCTCCAATCAGACCTCCCATCCCCCCCTCTCCTCCCTCCCATCTCTCCCTCCCTTTCTTTGGAGTAGTCACTTGATTTTGTTGGTTGAGTGCTGCTAGCGGCTGTACCCGCAGCAATCGACGCCAAGGGTGCCATGGGGAACCCTCTGCATGTGAGCGAGAAATACGACGAGAATTTTGAAGCATGATGTTTTGAAAGCGCAACCCAATCCGAAACCCAAACAGTTATAACATTGTGAGAAGCAAGCTGCTCTCCATAATTGCACACCATGACAGGCTCACAAGGCGAGGGTGGCCACCAAGAGGGCCCTGCACTTCATGAAGAAGCCGGCCTGGCGGGCGATCATTTTGAACGTTGCCCGAGCAGCCGTGGCCTTCCTCAGAAGTCGCTCACCAAAGCCCGCCGCTAAGCGGAGCAAGCTACGCCTGGGGGGTTAAAAGAACCTCAGACCACACTCGGCTTTTGCAGTGCTGTTTTTGTTGCATGCGAAAAAACGGCGGGATAGACAGTCAAACCAAACAACGCAAGCTCTACAGGAACCAGTGCGCCGAGAAGAGCAGAGCGGGCGCTTTGCAGAATGCCTCCAGCGCGCCAGTCAAGAAGCATGCCAAGGCCAACGCCGACTTCGGCTGCCCCATGCAAAACCACGCGAAGCTGGCCAAAGAGCTGCGCGCGCGCAAGAAGTGGTGGAGCAAGCAGCGGGCTGCTCTCCCAGCGCTAGCGTTTTTTGCGCGCCCACAGAGAAAAACTAACAACACGCAACGTCGACCTCTGAAAAAGAGGGCGCCCAAAGAACGAACGCCCTCTCGCAAGCCTACGCGACAAGAAACGCCCCCACCATCAGACAGGAAGCATCGAGGGGCGACGCGCTAAAGCATCCCAGCCCGAAGGCCCATACTGCGGGCGGCAGCGCGGGGGGGGGGGGAATTCAGAGAAACGCGCTCGTGAACCCCCCCCCCGCGCTCGAGCGAAGTTGTCTCGCCACGTTCCCTGAGGGCGAACAGCCTGCCATCGCAAGTACGCGCAGCACTGAAGCTAAATGAATTTGTCGTGGAGAAAAAGGAGGAGGAGGGCGAGGGGGAGGAGGAGATAGGAGGGTAATAGTGCATGATACGCATATGATCAATCGAGAAAAAGTTCGGCCCTTGAGAGCGGGACCAGGACCGCGGCCGATACGGAGGTCGACTCCCCGTTCAGAGCGGACGCAACACTGAGCTGCCCGCGCTCGAGAAAACAGTTGGCGCCCAAGATACGTTCGTTGCTCGTCTCTCGCTGCCAAGCACGGTTATAGAAATGCGCGCCTTGGCGGAGCTCTGACCCCATCTGTTTTTGTTCAAAGGATGTTGTTTCACCATGTAGTAGATTCTGTAGACTATCGGCAATTGAGGGCTGGACGGGAACCGCGGTCCAGGAGGAGGTCGATTGTCCGTTCAGCACAGACAAATGCCCTTGGCACCGCGAAGACCGCCGGAGCCCAAGATCCGTTCGCTCATCGCTTTTCGCCGCGAAACGCGGCGACGGAGATGCGCGCCAAACCAGAGTTCTAACCTCGTCTTTGTTCTACGTTTCGTTATTGGTTCCAGCATATCGTGTATATATAAGAGATACATATGTGTATATGTTTACGATATGCTACCAGTCAGTTGCTACTGCCGCCATGTATTCTCAAGCGAAGCCAGGACACTCCCAAGCGTTTCCCTCGATGTGATCGCTTTGTGAGACCCTCCCACCGAACTGCCTGCCAGCGCGATTTCAGCGCCATGGTTGCGCCCCCACCCAGGACGGCATCGACCGTTTAAAGATTGTGCTGCTCGCATCGCTCGATTGGCATCTGACGATCGATCGGGCAGTTTGTATTCGCACGTTGCGATCTCCCGATCGAATTGCTGATGTGGTAGTTTCCTTGGTCCGCATTGGGTGCTCGCCCACTGCAATGTTAAGGTGCGTCCTGGTTTCGCCAGCGGCGTTCAGCAGGGTCTCAGAATGCGCAGCAGAGGATTATGTGAGACGCTTCCGAGGGCGATCGATAATCATCGGGCGGCGCGGGAGACGCAGGTTCCTCACTGCCTTAATCGCATGCCAAAATGATCCGGCCTGCCGCGCCGCGCCATATCCGAGCAAGTTTCAGACCGCGCTGCGATCTATCGCGCAGTGCAGCGCGACGCCGCAGCGCGGCAATATCGATCTTTCATCGGCTCAAGTCAAGCGCCGGCGACATCGAGAACAACGACGCTTCGGACGTCGTGCCTCACCGATCTGGATCATGATTTTGCGCCGTGTGCCGACGAAAACTCGACGTTCACGATGTCGACGACGACGATTTCAACATCGACGGGCGCGACGGGCCCGTTGCTAGACCAAACTTTTTCTGGTTCTTTCCATGCTCCAGGCGCGCGAGCTGATACTTGGAGCAACTACTCATCCTTGGAGGGCGCTCGAAGGCAGCGCGGCCAGGGGGCCGACGTCTGCATAGACGGGGCCGGCAATGCGCACCATCTCCGGGACTTCGCGCACTAGGCATCAAGATCTCGCGTTTCCGGCAAGGGTTCCGCGCTTGTCGGATTCGCAAATGCACGCGGTTGAATTGCCCGTTCCACTTGGGCCCCCCCCCAAGCAGCCGCTACTTGACTGAGCAAAAGAGCGACGCCATGATTCGGCCGGTCTGTGCTCGGCCAGCTAGAATAATCCGCCAGCGCAGCGCGGCGGGCATCAGTCATTCCAGCCCATCCGCTTGGAATGGAGACGGGCTACATGCCCCAGCGCCCCTGCGACGGAAACTCCGCCCCAATCATCAGAGAGCAAGATAACAAAAACAGGGCCCGCGACTTCACGAGGCCGGTCCACAGCAGTTCGGGCGAGCGCGCGCTCGCCCGCGCCAGGCGAGCCGCTCGGCCGAGCGCCCCAGGGAGATGCGCGCCAGGTTGGACGGCGAACTTCGTTGTCTCCTGCAAGCAGTACACGGGGCTCTTCGCGGCTCTGGTTTCCGCGCACGCGAGCGCGCCCCCTCTTTCTGGGGGGCTGAGCGCGAGTTCGAGACGGCGGATTATCTGGCGACTTCTGCGTCGTTTCCTGTCGGCGTTCCGTTGACCGCCCTGAAGTGAGATTTCGCGACGAGGGGGGGCGACGGGAGGAGCTTTGACCAGTGCGAAGCCAGCGACAATACCCCCGATTGCATCTGCCCGCTGACGGAAAAGCGCCCGCGAGATCGCCCCTGCGACATGCGCGCCCACTGGGCCCGCGCAGCAGAGGATTGCGGGCGCGGCCCCGCGCCCAGCCGCCGGCCCGCGCGGAGCACGTCGTCTACGACCCGCGCTATTATGCGCCCAGCGCCAGGTGTTGTGGACGAACAGCGACGGGCGGGAAGGATGCGTTCTTCCTCGCGGGGTCTGTTCTGGCATATGCAGTTCATCTCGAGTCGCCCGGGGGGGGCGCGCGCGCCCGGCAAGCGCCGTGCGCGCGCTCTGCAAATTCAGTGCTCGGAGGGCGCTCCACTTGGATTCTGGAAGATGGCAATGACGCTTTGCGCCGAGTGAGCCAGCGAATCAAGCCAACATGTTAACAATGAGTTGGCGAGAGCGCATCATGGGCAGCCCGTTGCATATATGTGCAACGCTGCAGAATCTGAGAGATCGGAGGATCTCAATCACCATTTCGAACATGTGAAAACAAAGCCACGCGAACTTCTATCACCGTCGCAAGATCTGTCGGGCGCTCTGGAACGAAAACCCCTTAGAGATCGCCCCGCCCTTCAGCGAACGCAGAGCTTGTCCAATTTAGCGCGGTGGGCTCTTCGACGCCCCAGATTAGACGCGCGGTTTGCAGTTCGACGTCTTCGCCGGCATGGGCGAGGGCCGCGCGCGCAGCGGCGCAGAGCGCCCGCGCGGCCCCAAACGCTGCGAGCCAAACGGCGCGCTCGCAGAGCCTGGCCGCGCCGACGACGTTGCGCCGCCAGCTCGGGCCGCGCGAGAACGGCCTGCAGGTTCCGACGACGCATCGAGCTCGAGGGGAACTCGCGACTCTGACTGGCGGTGCGAAGGCAAACGCGAGCGCGCATTCATAAGACGAAAAAGTCTGCTCCGTCGCGCGGAACTTGGCACAGGTTGCCGAAACGACCGACAATCAATGCGAGCTGAGGCATCGGGCGTTCATATTCGTGGTTTTGGACGGTATAAATTTGTGGGCTCGCACGCATAGTTGCCACCCCGATTTCACGCGTTGGAAAGCTGGGGCCTTCGGAGAGAGACAGCATGACATTTTAATGTGCCAGAGAATGGGTGGGATATATAACGACGGCCGTGGGCTGTGCGTCCACGCGGATATCGGACGATGGGGGTCAAGGGATGCCCAGTTGAAACAGTCCGCTGCATCCTACAAAGTTCTCAACGCGATTGCTGGCGGCTGGCAAGACCCGCAGGGCGCAGCGCAGGCCCTGTTGAATTGCGGCAGAGCCCAGGGCGATCTCCTCAACAAAAATTGCCCCGGCAAAGCAACCGAACAACGACGTGTATAAACACATCTGGAAGCATTCCCCTGAAGATTCAGGTGCGAATCCAGTTGTAGAATTCTGCTGTTCTCGCAGTCGCAGTCGCATTCGCAATGACAGTCGCAGTGGCAACGGCCTTAGGATCCAATGGAATCCTAAGGATTCCTAGGGATTCCTAAGGTATCCTCAGGCATCCTTAGGAATCCATAGGAATCCTTAGATATCCTTAGGAAACCTTAGGAATCCTTAGGAATCCTGATTCCTAAGGATTCCTCTGGATCCCTAAGGATTCCTATGGATTCCTACGGATGCCTCAGCCTGCCTCAGCTTCAGCCTCAGCCCCAGCCTGCCTCGGCCTCAGCCTCAGCCTGCCTCAGCCTCAGCCTCAGCCTGCCTCGGCCTCAGCCTGCGTCAGCCTCAGCCTCAGCTTCAGCCTCAGCCTGCCTCAGCTTCAGCCCCAGCCTCGGCCCCAGCCTGCCTCTGCTTGCCTCAGCCTCAGCCTCAGCCTGCCTCGGCCTCAGCCTGCCTCGGCCTCAGCCTGCTTCAGCCCCCCCCCTTCCCCCCCCCCCCCCCCCCACCCCACCCCCACCCCACGCACGCACACACACACACACACACACACACACACACACACACCACACACACACACACACACACACACACCACACACACACACACACACACAACACACGCACACGCACACGCACACGCACACGCACACGCACACGCACACGCACACGCACACGCACACGCGCACGCGCACGCACGCACACACACACACACACACACACATGCACATACACACGCACGCACACACATTGAGCCTCACCTTGTCTCAGCTTCGGCCTGCCTCGGCCTCATCCTCAGCCTCAGCCTCAGTCTCAGCCTCAGCCTGTCTCGGCCTGAGCGTGCCTCGGTCTCAGCCTCAGCCTGCCTCAGCCTCAGCCTGCTTCAGCCTCAGCCTCAGCCTGTCTCAGCTTCAGCCTGCCTCAGCACCAGCCTCAGCCTCAGCCTCAGCCTCAGCCTGCCTCGGCCTCAGCCTCAGCCTGCCTCGGCCTCAGCCTCAGCCTCAGCCTGCCTCAGCCTCAGCCTCAGCCTCAGCCTGCCTCAGCCTCAGCCTCAGCCTGCCTCGGCCTCAGCCTGCGTCAGCCTCGGCCTCAGCCTGCCTCAGCCTCAGCTGGCCTCAGCCTCAGCCTCAGCCTCCGCCTGCCTCGGCGTGCCTCAGCCTCGGCCTCGGCCTGCCTCGGCCTCAGCCTGCCTCGGCCTCAGCCTGCCCCAGCTCGGGCATTCAAAATATGGCACAGGACTTGTGATCTGGGAACACGAAGAACACGAAGTGGCCCACAGTTGGCTCCGGGCAATCAAAATATAATACAGGAGTTGTGTTCTGGGAACACGAAGAACACGAAGTCGCCTACAGTTGGCTCCGGGCATTCAAAACGTGGCCTGGGAATGGTGTTTTGGGAACACGAAGAACACGAAAAGGCCTGCAGCTGGCTCCGGGCATTCAAAATATTGCCTTTGAATGGTGTTCTGGGAACACGAAGAACACGAAAAGGCTTGCAGTTGGCTCCGGGCATTCAAAATGTGGCCTGGGAGTGGTGTTCTGGGAACACGAAGAACACGAAGTGGCCTACAGTTGGCTCCGGGCATTCAAAATGTGGCCTGGAAATGGTATTCTGGGAATGGATTCCAAAGGATTCCTGAGAATTCCTAAGGATTCCTAAGGATTCCTGGGGCTGCCAGTTTTGTCCGGTTTTGTCCGGACCCCGCCAAGACCCCATTGGGGCGTCAAGATGTGGTCTCTTTTGGCCCCACTAGAAACCTATCAGCAAAGGCTGTTAGGTAACAAACCCGAAATCCGGCTCGGGAGGCCCATTGGCGCACTCGCTTTGGCGCTGTGGCACAGAGCGTCAGCCGCAACTTCTCCGCCGCAGGCATTCGCGAGCAGATCGCCGCCCACTCCTTGGCTGCGCGCGACGCGCCACAGCCAGCGCGCGAAGGCACGGCTGTCACAAACCGCAAACTCGACGATGCCTCGAGAGAGCGGCCCGCGGCCCAGATGCGCTGATATTCCAGCCTTGGAGATAAGTGACGCATGAAAGAAGAAGATTTTGCGGAGGATGGGCGGGCTCTCAGCGAACACAGTAGAGCTTCAATGGGTCGCGCCGCATTGGCACCGCAACGACGAGGAGTTCTGCGGGGCCGAGCCGGCCGCGCTTGTCCGCCCTTTCCGCAGCGTCGGGGGCGGGGGCCTGACTGTTGAGGTTCGAGATGGAGGTGGTGGAAATTGCAAGGGATGACATTTGGACTGGGCGTCTTTTTGGCGCATCATGCGCGCTCACTTGTGATGTCGGGCGATTTATATTCAGAGAAGATCGCCGCTCTGGGCGACAGAAATTATCACTGCGATCACCGCGCAGATCGGATCGCAGTTCAGCGTTTTTTCCCGGGCGCCTGGTTTGCGCAGTCGATCTGCAAGCGCGATCCATTGAGGTGTTCGCTGCGTTTCGTGGTCGTCTGGTTTCGCTTGCGCTGGCGATGGGTTTCGATGCAGAGTTTCGGACGTCGCCAAGGTTTCGGAGGTCTGCCCGCGTTGCCAGGCCCAAAGGGGCGGTTCGCATTCAGGGGGCCGGCAAACGCGCCGTCGCGATACCAGATATTTGCTCACGAGCTCCTGCAGGAGAAGACGACTTCGACCGCTGGGCGAACTGCGGTCCGACGAGCAAAGGGTCGTTTGATCAGTCGCTGAAGGTCCAGTTGACGAGCCCCGATGGAATCCCAAGTTGACTAGAGAGCCTGGGCAGCGCAGACGATCTCACGGAGAGCGCCCTGAGAAGACCCACCCTTGGGGCAGCGTGGAAAGGGGAGTTCGGCAATGAAGAACCGGAAGGAAGCTGCGCTGGATCACGCTGTCCCATTGCCCCGAACGAGGATGCAACTTCCCTGGCGGGCGCCCCCATCGCGCGCAGTTTCTACTTGAGCTTCGTGCGTCCAGTCGGGAATGAGTGGGGCGCGCCAGTTTTTCTGTTCGCGCCCATGATGATCTGGATAGATCCCACTGGCGGCACCGTCGTCGCAGGCGCGCGCTGGCTTGGGAGATGGACGTTCAGGGGTGGACTTGGTCATGCCCCTGCGAGTCCCCCAAAGCGCGAGAGTGCGATTCTGGCAGCGCAACATCCACTCTCAAGGAAAACAGCGCCCACGAGACATCTTCATACAAACGATGTTTCCGGCATGCTAGGACCGAAGAAACAGAGCCCCAGCTCGGAGGGGAATTCGACCAGGATGGAAAGCGCCCCAACTGCAACTGCGGGCCTTCGGAGGCAACAAACTTGCTCAAATGGGACGCGCAGGATAAAGGGCGGCATCGATTGGCAGTCTCGCAGAGTGCAATGGCGCATGGAATCGGAGCAAATGGAGGAACGGATGCGCGTGGATCCCGGCGGCCTGCGATGCATCCAGCATAGGAGACGCGCAGTAGCATCCTCGCTCTTGCTTAGCAGCGTTGATTTTGTTCGAGGACGCTCGCAATCGTGAGCTCACTCGCGCGCTTGAGTCAGAGTCGCCAGCATCTGCAACCGCAATAACATATTGAATTCCCATGGCATCCACAGCGCGCGGCGAACATTCTGATGGCGGCGCCGACCAGCCGGGCCAAGCACAAGCGTGAGTTCTAGTTGTCGGGGCTTACGGGGCAGCTTCCACGATGGATTCGGATCTGGTTGACTGCGGCGATGCTTATGATCTAAAACCGCGGCGCGAGCGGCTCGCGCGCGCGGATCAGAATGGCGCGCGGCGCAATAGCTCTGGCGCCCCCACGGCCGCGCACCACGGCCGCGCCGCTGAC